TCTTCCCGCCAGACCTCAGGCACCATCCAGTCGGGAGGCTCCTACACTTCCCACAGCTCCGTGGTGTCTAGCAGTATCTCCAACCAGCGGCCCTGTAGCTCCAACGTGCCCGACTCTCCCTGCAGTGGGGGTCCCGTCGTCACACACTCCGAGCCCTACATCTCTAGCTCTCATACCGTCTCGGGCGGGCAGAGGCCTGTAGTGGTAGTGGTGGAGCAACACGGCTCTGGTGGCCCTGGAGGGTTTCAAGGCATGCCCTGTAGCAACGGCGGCCCCTCGGGCAAGCCCTGTCCTCCCATCACCTCTGTCCAGAAACCCTATGGCGGCTACGAGGTGGTGGGTGGCTCTGCCAACAGTTATCTGGCCCCAGGCATGACCTACAGTGGGGGTAAAATTTACCCCGTGGGCTACTTCACCAAGGACAACCCTGTCAAGGGCTCGCCAGGGGCCCCCTCCTTTGCGGCTGGGCCCCCAGTCTCGGAGGGCAAGTACTTCTCCGGCAATCCCATCATCCCCAGCTACAGCTCTTCCAGTTCCAATGCCTACCCAGCCTCGGGCATCGTGTTCCAGCCCGTGGGCAGTGGCGGGGTCCAGCCCTGTGGTGTCGGTTCTAAGGGGCCTTGCTCCGGTTCGAGAATTCAGATTACTTCCAGCAGCTCCTCTACCTCCTTCCAGCCCTGCGGCAGCGGTGCTTCCCAGGGGCCCTGCTCCCCACCAGGCACCGGCTCCATCGGTGGGGGAAGCTCCTCCCTCTCCACCGGCAAAATTGTCCTCCAGCCCTGCGGCAGCAAGTCTAGCTCTCCCGGCTACCCCTGCCTTTCTGTTTCCTCCTCCACACTGAACGGAGGTCTGAATGGCTCTCCTCAGTCTGTCCCCACCGTGGTGGTCAAGCCTTGTGGTCTCAACAGCCCTGGAAAGGTGCCCTGCCGTTCCATCCGGGACATTCTGGCTCAAGTGAAGCCCCTGGGGCCCCAGTTGGCAGATCCGGAAGTTTTCCTGCCACAGGGAGAACCACTTGACAAGCCTTAAGTCACGCAAGCCAGCCATCTCCCAATTGGAAGATGTTCAGGGGCCCAGTTTCCTGCCCGCCTTCCAGGAGAGAGAGCCCTGTGCCGCAGGCTCTGGTCACCCTTATTCGGCGCCGGCGATGGTGGGCTCCGTCCCTTTCTCCTCTCCTGGTGCTGCCATCCCGTTCCGCTGTGGTGCCCTCTCTGCCTGATCACCCACCTTAAAGCTCACTTATTCGGGTTCTTGACTGGGAAGTCCTTGAAACACTCCAAGTCAACCGTGCCTCTGCCTGTTTGCCAAATAAGGCGAGATCCAGCCCATCACCCCGCACTTCTCAGTGACCTCTCCACGCTACCGGACCCACTCCCAACGCACCCGAGCCTCCTCTGTTCGCCATCTGAGCCCCTGTTGGGTTACCACAGATACTGTCCTGTGCGTGTGGATCCCTAGGGCATCGGCAGAGCCTGGCACAGACTTCCGGCTCTCTCGGGATCCTGGACAGGGCTCAATAAACTTTGTGAACTTTGTGCAAACTCTTTGCTTTCCTGGAGTCCTAGGTCCCTTCTCTAGTACCTGGGCAGTACACCTCCTGTGCCTCTGGAGGGCGCATGTTCCCGGTTTCTCTTCGTAATTTGGTTTTAGTGTTTTCTGTCTCACGCCTCCTCCCGCGGAGAAGGAAAACAATAAATACTGATTGAACTGAGACGTCAGAGTTGCCCGGTGTCCGTATTCTTGCTCTCCACGCCTCACTTCTCAGCTCTATTCCCCTTCTTCTTTCCCCTTCTCTTTTCCTCCAAAAAGCCCTCATTATTTTCTTCTCCCACCTAGGCTTCTCCTCCATTACGGAGCCTCACCTCGAAACACCGTCCTCTTTGGGAGTCCCTAGAGTCGATCTTGAGTTTCTGGGACGCTGGACCAGCCCAGGCAGATTCCTGGAGACTGAACAGGAGCCTGGGTGTTCTGAGCGCTGGGGGCGGGGAGAGGAAGACAACATCCCAGTGTGCTGCAGTGCACCAAGCCTGGTGACTCACTGGCCTAGTTAACACGGTTCCATGACAGACAGAGCCTACAGTGTCCTCTCCACCTCCTCACCCCTGAGTCTGCTGTGGCAGACGCTAGCGCAGGAAGGAGTGTGGGTGTCCCTATAGAGAGGCCCTTATTCCATGTGCAAAGCTCTCAAAGCTTTTGGAAAGGGAGCTTCCTGCTGCCCCAGTGCCAAACCCATTCCCCTCCTTTTAGGAAGAGAGCAGGTGCCGAATCCACAGTGGCTGAAGCTTCAAGTCCAGGACCAGAGGCTTCCCACGGAACAGATGCACTGGGGCACGCCATCAGAGACAAGGCTCACTCTTCCAATAGGAATGCTAATTCACTCCAACAAGTCTCCATTAATCTCCCTCCTACCTCCCACTAGACCCCACCTCTTAAAAGTCCCACATCTCTCAATATCCCCACCCTGGAGACTAGAGAGGAACACAATCAAAGAGTATGCAAACCATAGCATCTACATTTAAAACTAGACAAATCACTAATGAGCTCCCATCACCCCAGTGCAACAAGGTTGAAGTCATGGCTCTGCGGGGACTTGGATACACCCCCCTTTATTTTAGATTCATAATTTATATATGTGTGTTTTTTTCCTGTATGAATGTATATGCACTATGTACATGCCTGGTGACCACAGACACCAGAAAAGAACATCAGATCTCATGTAACTGCTGTTAAAGGAGGTTGTTAGCCTCCATATGTGTACTGGGAACTGTAGACAGAGTTTCTGCCCCACTCGGTCCTACAGCCATTCAGTCCCAAAGAAACACACAGAGACTTATATTAATTATTAACTGTTTGGCCTCTTAGCTCAGGCTTATTATTAACTAGCTCTTACAACTTACATCAACCCACAATTCTTGTCTATGTTTAGCCATGTGGCTTGGTACCGTTTCTCACTAAGGCATTCTCATCTTGCTTCCTCTGTGTCTGGTTGGTGATTGATTTTGTGCCTTTCCTCTTCCCAGAATTCTTAGTCTGGTTGCCCCACCTATACTTCCTGCCTGGCTACTGGCCAATCAATGTTTTATTAAATTAATATGAGTGACAAATCTTTACAGTGTACAAGAGCATTATCCCACAGCAGGGAACCAAAGTCTGGTCCTCTGTAAAAGCAGCCATTACTCTTAACTACTGAGCCATCTTCCCAGTCCCCCTCCTTCCTCTCTCTCTCTCTCTCTCTCTCTCTCTCTCTCTCTCTCTCCTCTCTCTCTTCTTGTTTTTTTTAAATTCATTTATTTATTATGTATACAATATTCTTTCTACGTGTATGCCTGCAGGCCAGAAGAGGGTACCAGACCTCATTACAGATGTTTGTGAGCCACCTTGTGGTTGCTGGGAATTGAACTCAGGACCTTTGGAAGAGCAGGCAATGCTCTTAACCGCTGAGCCGTCTCTCCAGCCCCTCTTCTTGGTTTTTGATACAGCGTTTCTCTGTGCAACAGCCCTAGCTGGAATTAGCTCTGTAGACCAGGCTGGCCTTGAACTCATAGAGATCCACCTTCCTCTGCTTCCCAAGTGCTGGGATTAAAGGTGTGCACCATCACCGCCTGGACCCCATCTCCTATATTCTTTGGCTACGTCTGACCACCTGCATTAGGCAGAATGTCACCTCCACATCAACGCCACCAAAGATGTCACCATCCCAGTGCTTGGAACTTACAAATCTGTCAGGTTACTCCGCAAAGGGAAACAGGGTTCCTGAAGCAGTTCAAGTCATTAGTCATCTGACCTTACCATAAAGGGATTATCCAGGATTATCCGGGTGGGTCCAGTATAAACACAGTGTTTAAAATGTGGGCTTGGGAGGCAGAAGAGGGAGCCAGACGACAGAGTGTGGGAAAACACTTGGAAGATGGAGAAGAGAGCCAAGAGACCAGAGGCACGGGGAGGGGGGCAGGACCTGGAAACTGAAAACAGCCAGTAGTGGAGTCTCTCTAGAGCGACTGACAGGAGTCAGTCCTTCAGATCCCTTGATTTTAACTCAGAAAGACACGTTTTGGACTTTTGTTCTAAACAATGACAACAGGGCTGGAGAGCTGGCTCAGTGGTTAAGAGCACTGGCTGCTCTTGAGAGGAAGACTTCGGTTCCCAGCACTGACATCAGGCTCACGGCAACCACCTGTAATTCCAGCTCTAGGAGTCTGACACCTTCTTCTGGCCTCTCTGGGCATTGCACACACATGCATACCCCTCCCCCCAGGCACACACACGCATATCCCTCCTCCCCACATGCATATCCCCCCTACAGGCACACACATGCATATCCCCCCCACAGGCACACACACGCATATACATAATTAAGAATAAAGTAAGGAATTGGATGGTGGTGGCGGCGCATGCCTTTAATCCCAGCGGTCAGGAGGCAGAGGCAGGTGGATCTCTGTGAGTTCAAGGCCAGCCTGGTCTGCTGAGTGAGTTTCAGGACAGCCAGGGCTACCAAAGAACAGAATAATAGAGTAAGGGCTGGAGAGTTGGCTGCTCGTCCAGAGGATGTAGATTTAACTCTCAGCACCCACATGGTGGTCCACAAATGTCTGTAACTTCAGTCCCAGGGGATCCAAAGCCCCCTTCTGACCTGGGAGGGCTCATAATATAGAATAACAAAATAAATAAAATCTACAAAACAGTTTTAAAACCTTTTACAAGCTTGATTACAGGGACTTTGACAGCACATGCCTGTCATCCCAGCACTTGGGAGGCCTAGGCAGGAGGATTATATGTCTGAGGCCAGTCTCATAGTGAGACTCTGTCTTAACTTACCCCAACTCCACTCTCCTCAAAGAAAACCAGGCAAAATAGGAAACAAATAAGCAAATGAAACAAAAGACAAAATGAAAACAAATCCCACAATTTTACATTGCATTGGGAATCGCCAGATTGTGGGGCTTTGTTATAGGCTCGGGGGGACAAAGCTCTTTCTCCAGGTTAAGGGCTTCACATAGGAAGAGCACCTCAGATGGGGGAACTTTTGCACCCCAGGATGTCCAGCTTGTCGGCATCCAGGGGACGATGTGGGGATATATGAACAAGGGGTGCTGGAGTGAGGTTCTAGATCCCAAGAGTCAGCCTGCTGAGTGTTGCTGCTGCCGTGGGAGACGGTGAAGACACCAGCATCCTAAGGCTTGGGTAGAGACAAGCCAGGGCAGGGCTGGGAACTAGGGGTGACCTGTGGACCAGCGCACCTGGGTGAGGAAGGGGCAGGGAGTACAAGGAAAAGAACCAGGTATGGGAAACACCCAGTTCCTCTGGGACATTCAAGTGACACCTGTTGCCACAGACCGAATCGAGAATGAGGGTGGAATGGGCAGATCTATTGTCTCCACAACCACTGGCCCAGCCTGTTTCTGCTGTCCCCCACCCCACCAACGGGATAAAGCCTGCTGCCTGGAGCCCAGGGAGACTGCTGGAGCCAAGCAAGATGCAGGGCCTTGCAGGTGGGAGCCGGGCTCCCCTGGGCCTGCTCCTGATCTGTCTGTATCTGCCAGGTATGGAGGGCACTGGGGTCCTTGGGAACTGGGATTAGTGAGTAGGTAATGACAGGAGTGTGCACATGTGGTCGGGTTTGCAGCTGAATCCCCAGGGAGGTGAGGAGCAGCAAGGGAAGGGGGTCTGGGGGGGGTCAAAGGAATAGCTGGTACCAAATCCTATCCACTGTCTGCTTCATTTTCTCCATTTTTCCCCCTTCAGGCCTCTTTGCACGGAGCATTGGGGCACCAGAGGAGAAAATCTCCCCACATTCTGGAAAACCTTCTTTTGCCAGCCTCTTCAAGCTTGAGACTGCGGGCTTGGGACAGCCTCAGCCCAAGCCTGACCTTGTGTATCACGAACCACCGCGGGTTCTTCCAAGGTTCCCTGGATTCTCACAAGATGGCGCTCTACCTGAGGTGCCCAGCCAGCCTCCCTTCTGGGGGGAGTACCCCATGGAGTTCTGGCTCTCCGAGGAGGACCCTCGGCAAGGGATGGGGGCTGCTGCCGAGGACCGCTTGGAGCGAGCGCTGCCAGAAGCGCTGCCATACCTTTCCAGAGGCAGACCTCTTCCTATGGCTTCCTCCGCATACGAAGCTTATGGACCCGAGGACTCAGAGTCTGTACAGCCTGGTTCCAGTCCGCTGAGAACCGAGGCAGAAGCCTTCGCCCAGCACCCGCTCTTGTACTTCATCCACAGATTACTGCCTGGATTTCCTTGGGGGATTCTAAGTCCCAGTGCATCTTGGGGAGCTGGAGGGGCAGGAACCGGGTGGGGAAGAAGGCCCATGCCATTCCCTTCTGGAATATGGGGTAGCAATAGTCAATTAGCAGGTCGGCACCCAGTAGTCAGTTGGGGGCCCAACGGTCCGTATCCTGCAGGCAACTGGGCGGGTAATGGTCGGTATCCTGCAGGCAACTGGGTGGGTAATGGTCGGTATCCTGCAGGAAGTTGGGGGGGTAATGGTCGGTATCCCGCAGGAGGCTGGGGGGGTAATGGCCGGTATCCCGCAGGAAGTTGGGGAAATAATGGCCGGTATCCTGCAGGAAGTTGGGGGGGCAATGGTTGGAATCAGCTTCCTCCAGGAGTCCGTCCTCCTGGTAGAAATCAGCTTTCTCCTGGAGTCCGACCTTCTGGTCCCAATCAGCTTCCTCCCGGAGTCCGACCTTCTGGTCCCAATCAGCTTCCTCCCGGAGTCCGACCCCCTGGCTCTTCGGGGAGCCTCCCAAACCCCAGTTTGCAGTGGGAATAGAGCTCAGCCGAAGCTCAGTCAGGCTCAGTCACATGGTTTTCCCTTCTCTCCCCGTTTTCAACGCTTCTTCTGTTGACCTATGCTGGTCACCAATAAACACAAGCAGTTCTTGAATCTGATGTGTCTCCGCGTCTTTGTTTCTGGGAGTAACGGCAGTGCACCTGGGGCCCCCCATTTTCTAGCTGTCCCTGTGTCTCTCTAGGGTCCCTGTAGAGCCCATCTTGTCCCCATCTTTGGGGGAGAAAGATCAAAATCCAGGTACTTGAGAGGGTGGGCCCACTGCACCTTCACCCCTGTCCAGGTGGTGGAATGGCCCTGAAGAGGAAGCATGGGAGTTCACCTGTGGCGGGAGGGAGGGAGGAGGTCCATCCAGCTGGCACCAGGCCAGGAGGGACAAAACCCAAAAACCAAACCAAAACAAAAAACCCAACCCTTCCCATTCACAGAACGCGGGGCCTGGTGAGGTCATGTGGCCCACATCTGTCTTTTATTCCCCAGACGGTCAAGCTTCTTGGAAATGGATGGCGCATCGATCTCCTTCACACGCATCACGCATCACTTAGGGCTTTGCGTGCAGAGAGCCGCAGACTTTGAACATCCGCTGAATAAACCTCAGCCCTGATAAAGGACGAGAGAAAAGAAAAGTCAGGCCCCCGAGCCAGCAACCACGGTGGCGGCATCTGCTGCTTTGTTCTCTGGGTCACGGCTCCTTCCTCTGCTTGGGCTATTGTCTCTCCCTCCCCTCTCTGGAGTTCCCAGGAGCGCAGCATCCTCGTCCGGATGGAGTGAGGGCAGCGGGTGTGTGTGTGGAGGGGGTGGGGTGGGTTCTACAAAGGAGAAGACAGCCATCAGTGGGGACAGATGTGACTGCATTTTCTCCACTGTGTACTTTGCCCTTCGTGGTCCAGGTGTGTGTGCCCTCTGGACAGCCTGGCATCACCCCAGAACCAGGAGGCTGGGCAACTTGTAGGAGAGAAGCAGGTGGGGCCCAAGGGATGGGAGCCACCTGCCCGAGTGGGACATGCTGTCTGTGGTGAGAATTCCTTGTTGGAACACTTCCTCATAAGCTCATCTTTCCCATCTGACCACACCTTTCTCTTGTCGCCTCAACCCAACTCTCTTCCCTCCTGAATTCTTGATTTTTCTCAATCCTGGGGAAGACTAGGGGGCTTTTTTTTTTTTTTTTAAAAAAAAGCTTTTCTTTTTCAACAGGTCCAAGATCATTTTAGGCTTGCAAGCTCATTTCTCGTTCTAGTTGCCTGCCTTGCTTCGGTTGCTCCTAGATGCATTTTTAAGTTATTGGTCTGTGTCACAGATTCACTATAATTGTCCCAGTGAGACAAAGACTTCATCTGTTTGCTGTTGCACCTCCAGGACAGTGTCTGAGCCAGGGCAAGCACTCAACAAACATCGAATGAGTCAGCAAGTCCTCTGTCTGTCTATCCATCCGTCCGTCCATCCATCCATCGTCTGTCCATCCATCCATCCATCCATCCATCCATCCATCCATCCATCCATCTCTCCATCCAGCTATGCACCTATCCATTCTCACGCACTTGCAGGCAACACTGTACCAAGTGTGGTCTCCAAAGGCCCGTGTATTACAGCCTTGGTTTCCATCCTGGCGCCCTTAGGCGGTAGTGGAAGCATTAAGAGCTGGGTTTAGCAGGGAGGAAGGACATCAGGTCATTGGGGAGGCTGCTGTTAAATAAGATCAGGGGACTCTGTCCTCTTTTCTTCTTGTTTCCTGATTTTCCATGAGGTTTGGCTCAGAAGCGTGCTCCCTGATGGCTGCCCAAGACAACTACAGACCCCAAGACAACAGGGACGACCTTCAAAACTGTTGGCTCAAACAAAGCTTTTCTCTGTAAGTTCTCTCAGAAGTGCCACGGTAGCTGACACCCAAGTCTCCACAGGGCCTCATCGGAACTGCTGCCGTGTCCTTCCTGGAGCCTCCTGAATCTGCTCTTGGCTCTCGCAATGCTTCCTCACTTCAACCCTCGTCATTATCTGTGACGAATGTGTTTTATGACTTGTCTTCACCAACAGAGAAGCAGGGACAGAGTTGTGAAGCAACTCACACAGGTCATGGATGACAGAGGCAGTGACTTCAGCCTCCTCCTCCTCACCCATCCAGGGAGTGTTCAAATTCAAATGCAATTAGCAGAAATACCAACTAACTTTTATTATGTGTGCCAGATCATGGTCAGGGTGTTTGCACACACATCCTTCTACCTGATCTCCCCCAGAAATTTCCTCAGCAAGGCAATGCCGGGACCCTTGTACAGGGGAGGTATGGAGGCCCGAACAGGGTGGGCCGAGGGCTTGCACACAGGACAGGCAACACTGAGGGAAGGGGGTGAAGCTCACCTTAGCAAGTATGGCTGAAAACTCCTAGAATCTGAGATGCCAGTGGCAGAGGGCTCTGAGTAGCTGTGGTCAATCACATCAGAGTGGTCTTTAAAATTTTTATTTTTATGTCTATGAGTGTTTTACCTTCAAAAATGTATGTGCACCATAAGTGTGTGGTACCCAATGAGGTCAGAAGAGGGCGTGGATCCCCTGGAGGTGGAGTTACAGGCAGCTTATTTGGCTTATACTTCCACGTCACAATCCGTCACTGTACTGAATGGTTTTATGTCAGCTAGACACAAGCTAGAGTCACCAGAGAGGAAGGAGCCTCAGCTGAGGCAACGCCTCCATGAGAGCCAGCTGTAAGGCATTTTCTCATTTAATGATCAATGAGGCCGGGCCCATGGTGGGTGGTGCCATCCCTGTGGGCTGAGCAAGCAAGTCAGTGAGCAGCTCCCCTCCATGCCCCTGCATCAGCTCCTGCCTCCGGGTTCCAGCCCTGCTTGAGCTCCTTCCCGACTTCCTTCGGTAACGAATGGCAAGGCTGAAGTGTGAGTCTGATGAACGCTTCTCTCTCCAGCTTGCTTGTTGGGCAGGGCTCTGTTGTAGCAACAGAAAAACCCAAACTAAGACAGTCACGGAGGAAAAGCAGGGCAGGAACTGAAGCTGAGACCGTGCGAGAGGGCTGCCCAGTGGCTTGCTCTCCCTGGCCCACTAGGTTTGTTTCTTACAAAACCCAGGACCACCTGGTCAGGACTGGCACCTGCCACAATATGGCCACAATGGGCTGGGCCTCCCCACGTCAATTATTAATCAATAAAATGCCCCCCATAGACTTGCCTGCCGGCCAATCTGTGAACACACCCAAATTCTCTGAGTTGTTTATGTTAAATGGGACCTGAAGCTCTTGTTACCCACCCACCCACCATCCTGAACCCAACAGGCCTTCACGACCCAGACGGTACCCTGCACCTGACAAACGCTCCCGTGAGAAAACACACGTTCCAGGTGTCTTCACAAGTTCCTGGAAAGCAAAAGGAGAATGCCAGCCAGCAGGTGGAAGCTGGGGTACCCTCCCAGCTGAGGAAGAGGAACAGACGTAGGTGCTGGTCTACAGATAGGCAACACCAAAACCAGACCGCCGGCCCTCCACCGGCATGAGGAATGAGTGGAAACGGCCTGGCTGGGCTAGTGAGTCTTGTCACCTCTGTGCCAGTGCCTTCCCGGGTCTCGGCGTTGAAAGTGCGTGGTGACTGGGCTCTGTGGCCTGGGCCTGGCTGTCTATAAGTGGGAAATCTCTACACAATCCCAACACGGTTAGAGAATTGCCTTAGCCTTGGAACACTCAGTTCCCAGCACACTGAGGGTGGAGGGAGTTACTGTCACCCCAGTGAGACCGTCTGTCTGACCCTGAAGTTACTGTCATCCCAGTGAGACCGTCTGACCCTGAAGTTACTGTCATCCCAGTGAGACCGTCTGACCCTGAAGTTACTGTCATCCCAGTGAGACTGTCTGACCCTGAAGGTGGCCCCACACTCCAGAGAGAGCTGAGATGACTTCCTGGGCCTCTCTTTGAGAGGACACCAGTGTGCTGACCAAGGGGATACAGGATAGATTGGGGACCCTGTGAGATCTTTAACTCACTGTTATCTGCCCAGGCCCCCTGAGAACAGCCCTTGCCCAGTTCTAGGCTACCTGCTTTCTGTTCCTGTGAACTGGTCTCTCAGAAGCATTTCATGTAAGATCACACAAAGCTTTATTGTCTGTTAGCACAGCGTTCTCCATGTTTCACACTTTGTTCCTTTCTTGTCAGATTTATCATGATTATTGAGTGAGGTTCTTGCTATGTAGACCATCCAGACTGGCCTTGAATATGTGACGGTCCACCGGTCTCTGTCTTCTCCGTGCTGGGATTAAAGACCTGCACCACCATGCCAGGTTAGAAGAGAATTCTTCTTTTTAGGTACACAGATTTCACATAGATTTTTAAAAACTTGCAGCCTGCTGTCTTCTACTCATATAAAGTATTTTAGTGTCTCCCTTGGGTCGTCAAGATGACACATCGGGTAAGGGCTCTTGCCGTTGTAACCTAAGATGTGACCTAAGTTCAGTTCCCGGGACCCTCGTGGTGGAGGGAGGGAACTGACTCCTGAAAGTGGTGTATACATGTGTGTCAGTGTACCACGCGCATGCAGGGACCTGTGGAGGCCAGAGGAGGACACGAGATCAGTGAGAGCTGGAGTTACAGGCAGCTGTGAGTCCCCCGATGGAGGTGCCGCAACTGACCTGGGGTCTTCGCATTGGGGTCCTCCCGTTGGGGTCCTCGCATTGGGGTCCTCGCATTGGGGTCCTCGCATTGGGGTCCTCCCGTTGGGGTCCTCGCATTGGGGTCCTCCCGTTGGGGTCCTCCCGTTGGGGTCCTCGCATTACCCGTTCTCAACTGCCGAGCTGTCTTCTGACCCCACATTTACTATTTCAGACGATTTCTTGGAATGGTGAAGGGGCTGGGAGGGATAAGTGTGGGTGACCGAGGAGGTAGATCGGGGTGCCCTCAGGAGGGAGCTTCAGTAGGGAAAATGTACTATGTGCACTCAGGACAGCTACGGTGCCTGAAGCTTGCCAGTGGCTGACTCCTGCGCCATGGGAGGAAGTGACTCCTCAAATGT